CCCCCTCCCCCCTCTCCCCCTCTCTCTCCCCCCTCCCCCATCTCTTCATGATCTCTCCCTCCCTCCCTCTCTCTCCCCTTCCCCCATCTCTTCATGATCTCCCCCTCCCCCCCCTCTCCTCCCCCTCCCCTCTCTCTCCCATCTCTCTCCCATCTCTTCATGATTTCCCCCTCCCCCCTCTCCTCCCCCTCCCCTCTTTCTCCCATCTCTTCATGATCTCCCCCTCCCCCCTCCCCCCTCTCTATCCCCCTCCCCCATCTCTTCATGATCTCCCCCTCCCCCCCTCTCCTCCCCCTCCCCTCTTTCTCCCATCTCTTCATGATCTCCCCCTCCCCCCCTCTCCCCCTCTCTCTCCCCCTCCCCCATCTCTTCATGATCTCCCCCTCCCTCCCTCTCTCTCCCCTTCCCCCATCTCTTCATGATCTCCCCCTCCCCCCCTCTCCTCCCCCTCCCCTCTCTCTCCCATCTCTTCATGATCTCCCCCTCCCCCCTCCCCCCTCTCTCTCTCCCCCTCCCCCCATCTCTTCATGATCTTCGTCCCGGTTTTCATGGCAGTCGACAAGAGCTCGCATTTTCGCTTAACCGGCTCTCATGAGCGGTTGGCTGGAGGTCGCATGTCGGTTTAAGCGGCCCTCATGACCGGCTCTTAGTAGGTCATGCGCTCCTTCAACCGGGAAATGAATTGGGGGGGAAGGGGGGGGGAGGGAGGAGGAGAGGAGAGGAGGAGGAGATGGGAAAGGAAGGAGGGAGGGAAGAAGGGAGGGAGGGAAAGCTGGGAGAGGGAGGGAAGGGAGGGAGGGAGGGAAGGAGGGAGGATGGGAAGGGAAGGGAAAGAGAGAGATGGGAAGGGAGAGAGAGAGATGGGAAGGGAGAGAGAGAGATGGGAAGAGAAAGAGAGAGATGGGAAGGGAGAAATAGAGGGACGAAACACAAAAGAAACTTAGAGAATCAGAAAAAAACGTAAAAGAAACGAAGGAGAATAAAGTAAACAATCAAAACCAGAGAATAAGAAGACGAAGAAGAAAAAAACACAAGAAAACAGAGTGAAAGTAAATAAAGACATCGTTCCCTTTACACCATCAGGAATTCTCCTTAACATTCAAAATCCTTTTTTCAACATAACACTATATTTGATAACATAAAAAAAAATCATTATTCAGTCTTCATTTCAAAGTGCTGTTGTTTATTTGTAATACTGCAAATAATGGCCTTTCATACTAAATCAGGAATATCCTCTGTGAATAGCAAGCATTCTTTGCAAAATCATCATTGTTGATTTTCCATTACGAAATTGTTATTGTTCACTATACAATCATTAACAGCAAACCATTGTTACAATTATTTATTCAAAGATAATAGCATGTCGCATAATGGTAAACGTTCGACCTGTAATATAAAAGGTATTTATCACGCACCAATTTATGAGATTTCGTGATCAAATTGTGGGTTTTTTTATCTGTTTATTTTACGACTTTAATCTTAATCGACGTGTGTGAGAGAGAGAATGAGAGAGAGGGGGAGCAAGGGAAGAGAAAGACAAACAGATAGATGGATACAGTGATAGAAAGAATTAAGTCAGAATTAAAGGAAGATAAATAGGTAGGCAGGCAGACGAGTAGACTTACAGACAGACAGACAGACAGAGATTGATAGATTAATATACAGCAAGAGAAAGAGAAAGAGAGGCGGGCAGAGAAAGAGGCATAAAGACCTACTGAGGCAGATAAATAGACAGGCAGGCAGACAAACAAAACAGACAAAAAGTAAGACAAACAGAAAGACAGACAGACAGACAAATAGGAAGGGTGGATATGATAAAGCTAATTTCTCGTAACATTAACGATATTATCAACAATCCAAAGAATGGCTTTGTAGTCATCATTTGCAAGTATTGTAGTCTGCGATGCACTTCTCCTGTTTATCTTGATTAAACAAACGAATGATTCCTTGAAATCACAAACAGGATAGTCAAATAAGAAACAATGGCAGTCCCTCCCTCCATTCCTGCTTCTCTCTCTCTCTCTCTCTCTCTCTCTCTCTCTCTCTCTCTCTCTCTCTCTCTCTCTCTCTCTCTCTCTCTCTCTCTCTCTCTCTCTCTCTCTCTCTTTGTACATTCAGCCTTCCATTCCTCCCTCCCTATCTTTACCTCCCCTTTTCTCATTTCCTCTTCTGTTTCTTTTTTATCTGTATATTCATCTATTAAGATGTCTGTCTATCTCAACACACACACACACACACACACACACACACACACACACACACACACACACACACACACACACACACACACACACACACATACATGCGCACACACACACACTCGAACACATTCCTCTATTCTCACACTTTCATCCCCCTCTCCCCCCTCTCCCCCTTCCCCTTCGTCACGGCGACTCTAACAGCTAAATGTTTACTTCCATAACCGACCTTTTGATGTCTCGCTCTCTGAACAGTGGGGGGGGGGGGTTAGGAAAGAAAGGGAAGGGGAGGAAAAGAGGGGAAGAGGAGAGAGAGAGTAGGGAAGAAAGGGAAGGGGAGGAAGAATGGAGAAGGGAAGAGTGAGGGGAGACGGGGAAGGGGAAAGTGAAAGAAGATGGAAAAGGGGAGACGGGGAAGGGGAAAGTGAAAGAAGATGGAAAAGGGGAGAGAGAGGGGAGATGGGGAAGGGGAAAGTGAAAGAAGAAGATGGAGAAGAAGTGAGAGAGGGGAGGAAGAATACAGAAGGGGAGATGGGGAAGGGGAAAGTGAGGGAAGAAGATGGAGAAGTGGAGAGTGAGGGGAGAAGATAGAGGGGAGATAAAGGGGGAAGGAGTGGGAAAGGAGGGAGAGAGGAAGGAAGGAGAGGGAGATGAAGAAGAAAGAAGGGAGGAGAAAAGAAAGGAAAAAAAAATGGAAAGTGAATGAAAAAAGGGAGGAAGGAAGGGAGACGGAAAATAAAGATAAAAAAGGAAGAGAAGACTAGAGGGAGGGGGAGGAAGGAAGATGGAAGGAGGCGAAGAAAAGGGGAAAAAAGTAGGGGAAAGGGAATGGAAGAAAGAAGGAAAAAGATAAAGAGAAAACTGTAAAGTAAAGGAAAGAAAGAAGGAGAGAATAATGGATAGAAGCAAAGGGAGAGAAAGAACAATATGGAAAGGGGTAGGAGGGGGGGGGGAGAGGAGGATGGAGAAGAAGGGGAACTAGAACCGGGGGGAGGGGGGAGGGGGGAGGGGAAGTAAAAAAAAAAAAAAATGTTCGTGTTGTTTTGAAGATTTCAGTGTTGTCATAATAGCCATCATTTTTCTTTTGATTACCGGTCTTGTTGTTATGATCGTTCGTTATCGCTGCTCCGTCGATAAAAGCGCCTTTCCTTTTGTTTTGTCTCTCATTTACTTTTCCCTTTCTGGTTTTCCGTTCTTCTACCTTTCTTCTTTCTCTCTCTCTTCCTCTTTCGCCTCCTCCTCCTTTTCTTCGATTTTCTTCCTTTTCGCACCCCTCTTTCCTCTTCCTCTTCCTCCTCCCCCCATCTCACTCTGCTCTTCCTCCTCTCCTCTTGCTCCTGCAGCTCCTCCTTCTCCTCCCTCCTCCTTCTCCTCCCTCCTCCTTCTCCTCCCTCCTCCTTCTCCTCCCTCCTCCTTCTCCTCCCTCCTCCTTCTCCTCCTTTCTCCTCTTCCTCCTCCTCCTCCTCCTCCTTCTCCTCCTCCTCCTCCTCCTCCTCCTCCTCCTCCTCCTCCTCCTCCTCCTCCTCCTCCTCCCTCCTACTTCCTCCTCATCCTTCTTCTCCTCCTCCTCCTCCTCCCCCTCCTCCCCTTCCTCCGTTTTCATTCTCAGAATAACATTAAAGTGAAAGACAGCTTCCCCACACCCTTCCCCCTCCCCCTCTCCCTCCCCTCCCTCTTCCTACCCTCCCTCCCTCCTTTCCCTTACCCCCTCTCCTTCTCCTTACCCATTCTCCCTCTTCTTCCTATCCCCTCTCTTCTCCCTCCTCCTGTCCCCTTCTCTTTCTTACCCTCTCTCCCTTCTCCACCATTTCTTTCTCCCTCTTTTTCCTTATCCCCTCTCCCTTCCTTACCTCCACTCCCCCTTCCCTCCTTTTCCTATCCTCTCTCTTGTCCCTCCTCCTGCCCCCTTCTTCTTACCCTCTCTCCCTTCTCCTCCTTTCCTTTCTCCCTCTTTTTCCTTACCCCCCTCTCCCCCTTCCCCACCTCCTCCCCCCCTTCCCCCCCCTCTCCCCCTTCCCCTACTCCATCTCCCCCCCCCCCCCCCCCCCTCGACAATACCAACGTGCATCGGCGTAAATGGATTGGAAAGACACTCTCAGTGCAGATTGCGGCGTGAGAGAGGAGAGACGCATCGTTTTCCTTCCTCTCCGTCCATGGGGTGAGAGAGGGGGGGAGGGGGGGGAGAGGGTTAGGGAGGAGAGTAGGAGGTGGGGGGGTAAAGTGTTTGAGGGGGGGAGGGAGGGAGGGAGGGTTTGTTTTAGGGGGGGAGAAGGTTGGGGTTAAAGGGTCGGGGAAAGGAAAATAATGGCGGTGGTGATGGTGATGTTGATGTTCATTATAAGAATAGTGATAAGGATGATGATGATAATGATAATAGTAATGATGATACTGATAATAATGATGACAATAATGATGATTATGATATTAATAATGATGGTAATAACGGTGATGATAGTAATGAGAATTATATTTGCTCACAACATTTTAATATTATTATTATCATTATTATTATTATCGCCTTTACTGTTCTTATTATTAATATTAGCATTTTCATTATTATTATTATTATCATCATTATTATTATCATTATTATCGTCATCATCACTAATACTATCATATATATTATCATTATTGTTGTTGTTGTTGTTGTTATTATTATGATTATGATTATTATTATAGTTATCATTAATGTTGCTATTATTATTATTACTATTATTGCCATTATTATTATTATTGTTAATATCATTATCTTTCGCATCCTAATCCAAGCCCTTTTAACATTTTCCCTTCTTCCGCCCACAGACAATGTTCACGTGGTGGATCTCCTGGCTGTGGGCGTGGCTGCTCTGGTCTTCGTGGGCGTGCGCGGGCGTAGGCGTCGGAGCGGTGTGGGCGGCGGGCATCGGGCAGCAGAAGGTCCTGAGCAGCCCGACGGCGACCAGAGGAGGGGCGTCGGGCAAGACAGGCGCCTCGGCAAAGGACATCAAGCTAGGGCCGGGGATGGGCGGGTCGGCGGTGCAGTTGGGCGGCGTCGAGGGCGCGCAGCACTTCGCCACGCAGCCCACGCCGCAGACGGCCGTGGTTGGTTCTACGGCCGTGCTGCCCTGCAGGTGCGTGGACTGGGGGTGAACAGGATGATGGATAGGTAGATAGATAGATAGATAGATGGTAGATAGAAGTGGGTGGATGAACGGGTAAAGGGATAGGTAGATAGATAGATAGATAGATAGATGGTAGATAGACGTGGGTGGATGAACGGGTATAGGGATAGGTAGATAGATAGATAGATAGATAGATGGTAGATAGACGTGGGTGGATGAACGGGTAGAGGGATAGGTAGATAGATAGATAGATAGATAGATGGGCGATAAAAGTGGGTGGATGGACGGGTAGATGGATAGGTAGCTATAGAGTTGAATGG